GTTAGACGGAGAGAAGATAACACAGGGCAAAGGCGTCCCAAGAACCCAGGTGGCCCGGCCATTCTCACCCACAGGTGGTCAATTCTTGACATGCACCGCCCGTGACTGTTTCCATAGGTTCAAAACACAGCCTGACACCTTTGCCTACTTTCTAAAAATCAGTGTACTTAAATAAACTTGCCCACCACTCATCGATGAATAAATAAACAGAAAAGGGGGTCCATCTGTGCCATGGAATATTACACAGCCACGAACAAGGGCGAGGCTCTGGCTCAGGCTGCAGCCTGGTTAGACCTTGAACCCAGGATGCTCAGTGAAAAAAGCCAGGCACAAAAACCCATGTTCCATGATTTTGTGCATATAAAATGTGGCCAACAGGGGAATCCCTGGCCACAGAGACAGAAGGGGCATTAGTGGTCGCCTCGTCAGGAGGACGAAAGAATGAGAATAATGACAAGGGACTTCTAAATGGGTCTCTCCTTTGGGGATAATGGGAACATTCTGGGATTAGAATATGAGGAAGGGGGGTCGGCGTGTTCCCTGTGGGTGCACGTGAGAGGATCATGCTTGCATGTTCTGGACAGGACGCATTCCAATAGCAGCGTTGAGATCACGACACGTTGAGATCGAACATGGTTGAAGAGAAGCCCGCTCCCAGCTTATGTTTTGCTGCTCTACCAAACCTCATGGCTCCAACCACACAGACTTGGCATCCAATCGCCCTGCGGGTCCGATTTCTGAAAGGGGTGCCGTGGGGTTCAGATATCAGGGTTAGGGTGTGCTTTGTGTTTCACCGCAGTCAGCACATGCCAGTTCGGGAGCAGCCAGGCAGCATGTCCCTGGAGGGACCCCCTTCGAGGGCTGCGTGCGGTTTCCTCTGCGCAGGCGTTTGGGGTTCACGTCGCGAGGACGGCTGACGGAAGGCGAGACTGTGCGGGGGACAGAAGGACGGAAGGACCCGGGTGTCCGGGGTTGAACTCAGTCCCCCAAAAGCTACACGGGAGTCTGACTCAGAGGACCTGTGGATCGGAGCTTCTTGGGAAACAGGGTCTTTGCAATAGAGGGAAGGATCTGAGAGGAGGGCGTCCCAGGTCAGGGTGGCCCTGCGTGCAATGACAGTGTCCTGAGAAGGGACAGAAGAGGAGACGCAGACCCGGAGGAGAAGCCATGTGGAGACGGAGGCAGAAGTGGGAGGGTCGTGGCCACCAGCCCAGGGACACCTGGAGCCCCCAGAGCAGGAAGAAGCAGGAAAGACCCTCCTTAGAGTCTGTGGAAGGATTGGGGGCCCTGGGACCCCTGGGTGACCTCAGACACCTGGTCTCCAGGGTTGGGGAGGGTGAATTTGGGATGTTGTCACCCCGGGCGATGTGCGGTCATTTGTTACTGGGACCCCAGGGCATACTCGTGCAGATAAAACCAGAGTGGGAAGGCCGTTTCCATTTCACCTTCGCCGCGTTATTTCTTCCCCGTAAGAAAGAACACCGCGCGAGTTCTAGGATGTTCGCGATCTCCTCCACGTCTGCTGGTCACCTTCAGCCCGGTGTCCCTTCTTCTTCACCTGCAAGCAAGTGTCGTTCGCCTGTTTCCACGGCGCGTGCCGCAGCCCTCGGATGCCGCTCTGCGTGGAGTTTCGGTGGACGCGAGCGCCACTCCGAACGGAGTGTTTGCGTACGAACACGCCCCTGTGTTTGCAGCTGCAGCAATCCTGTGCTTCTCTCTCCCCAGCAGCAGCGGGAGTTCAAGGTCCCAGGACACAGAACGACTTAGACCCCCTTTCCTAAGTCCTCTTGTGTCTGGACGTGAGGCTGCCTCCTTGCAATTCTTCAAAGAACCCTGTCCGGACAGTATAAGTGCCTTTCCCAGGGGTCCCGAACAGGTCCGAGAGACCCCCCCGCCCTGGGGAATGTCCTTAGGCGATCTCCGGACAAGCTAGGTCTCACCGGCCTTTAGGGCTCCGACGGGGTCTTCCGTGACAGGCGTGTGTCCCCGCCTCTGGGTGCTGTTCCTGGCACAGGCCTCTGGAAGACCCTCAGGCTTGCTTCCTGCAGGCAGCTCGCTCGCTTGCTTGCTCGCAGGGGGCGCCCAAGGCACCGTCAGAAACGACAGCCTTCGCCCCGTGGGGGCTGCTCAGCAGACTTCGCCGAAGGGGCGTCTCTCTGAAATCGGTCTTTTCGTGCCCAGGCAGAGAGACACTCTGCGATTTTGATTTCGAGAAGCAAGACGGGTCTCGGCGTGTGCCAGAAGGGCCACAAGTCACCCTTCGGAGCTGAGGTCTTTGAAGGGGCGTGTCTCAGGGAGGGCGTCCCCTGACCTCCGTCTCCCGGTCACTGGCCTGCGTGGCACAACGGGACCCGCCCCCGGTTCTGTGCCAGGCAGGATGTGGACGCCGGGGACGACCACGCCTCTCTGACACCCCTCGTAACCGACCCCTCCTGCTCGGAGAAATGGCAGCGGGGGATAAATCGCTTCCATCTTGCCCGGGGAATCCCTTTGAGCGCGTCCCCGCGAAGGGTCAGGCGGAGTTCAGGTCTCTCCGTGGCACTCTTTCTGCGGGTCGCTGAGCGTCCTTCTCTCCACCCTGCTTTGCGGAAATAGTTCCGCCGTGCTTGGCCAACGGGGAGACTTCCCCGATGCGTCTCTCTCATTGTTGTTATTGTTTTTCCCACGCGGTTCCGTTTCCAAAGACGCTGTGGAGACAATCTGGAAGCATTTTAGGACAGGCAACGGAGCAGGAGGGATCTCCTGACCCTGGTATGTACGCACAAACCGAAACAAAAATTCCCCCTCGTTTTCAGGGACAGGGCCGGCAGCCCGAGCTGCCATTTAGCCGCAGCCTGGGGGCAAGTCTCACTTGCTGCGTTCCTCAGAGTCTGCTTCTGCTCAGGCAGGGGTGCGCCCCCCGCTCCCCTGGGACTTTCCAGCCACGAAAGGAGACATTTCCTGTGTTAACCTCTTTTTCGTGTGTGTCTGTCTCCATGGATTCTGGGATTTTGAGGGGCCGCCCTTACCCCATCACGCAGGCGGGGCAACAGTGGGGACTGCCCGGGTCCCAGGTCTCAGGGGTGACATGTACAATCCCCAGGAAACAAACAGCCATGGGGTTCCCTGGTCATGCACCACAGTTGTAATGTTCCCACTCTGTCACTGAAGAGTCGGAATGCCTAAGCCCTGCAGCTCGTGGGAGAAATGGAGAATCTATCCCCAGAGATCCTGCCTGGGTGTAAAAATTGATAAAAAATGGAAAGACGCAGCCCTGGCTGGCGTAGCTCAGTGGATGGAGCGCGGGCTGCGAACCAAAGTGTCGCAGGTTCGATTCCCAGTCAGGGCACAGGCCTGGGTTGCAGGCCACGGCCCCCAGCAACCGCACATGGATGTTTCTCTCTCTCTCTTTCTTTCTCTTTCTCCCTCCCTTCCCTCTCTAAAAAAATAAATAAATAAAATCTTTAAAAAAATTGAAAGACGCAAGTATTCCGTTAAAACACCCCCCCGTTGGTTCCTCAGATCGTATCTGTTAGTTGCACATGATGTGCTCATTCTCTGTGTCCACCTGCATCCTGGTGCCCCAGCAGCTCTGGAGAGGAGGAGGAGGAAGAGGAGGAAGGAGGAAGGGAAGGAGGAGGGGAAGGAGGAGGAGGAGAGGAAGAAGAAAAAGAGGAAGAAGAGGGGGGAAGAGGTGGCAGGAAGGGGAGGAGGAGGGCAAGGAGAAAGAGAGGAAGGAAAAGAAGGAGGAGAAGGAAGAGGAAGAAGAAGAGGAAGAAGAAAGAAGGAGGAGGGGAAGGAGGGGGAGAGAGGTAGACAAAGGCACCTGGAGAAAGTGAGGAGGGAGGACCCTCCCGTTACTTCTTCAAAGCCAAGCATGTGTCGACAGATGGGGTACCCCGGGGGAGGCCTGGGCAGACTGGGGCCCACGGGATGCCCCCCAAGGTCAACCTCAGAGCCTGTCTGGAGGGTGACGGCAGCCGTCCGAGCCCCGCTCAGCCCCTGGAGGCTGAGCAGAGTGGGTGGAGGAAGGGCCTGGCGGAAACCGAGGCGCAGGCACCCCCACTGCGGCAGGGAGAGAGGAGGGGGGCTGTGGGCCCCGTGACGCTATCCCTCGGGGTCATGACCCACTCGACCCGTCCCCCGTTGACTTAAAAAACCCTACAGGACAGGCCCTTGGGCAGGGCATGGCTGGCCTTAGCAGTGTAGTCCAGGACCCGCCCGTGAAGGTCACGGACAAGGGTAAGAACATATTCTGGGGGCAGCTTTTTGAAACATCTCTCAACGGGTCCTGGGCATCCCAAGAAAGAGGGTGCCTCCAACTGCGTTCTGGAAACACGTCGACCCAAGTTACTGGAACAATAAAGCTACAGAAGTGAGTTGACTGAGCACAGCACCAGCGCCCGGTGCTGCTGGGCCCTGCGGAGGGCCAGGGGGGAATTCCCGGACCCTTCTAGAAGCAGCGGCCAAGGCAGGTGCTGCTTCACAGCGGTTCCTGTTCTGGGCGGAGCTGCTTGGGCACCTCTGCTGCCCCTCTCCACACGGGCTCTGTCCTTCAGGTCCACGTGGGCGCTGCTGATGACTGACCCCCCCCCCCCCAACACACACACACCTTCCTCAGGTCTCCTCCTCCCTGGAAGCCAGGTGACCTCCGCCTCTTGCCTCCCCTTGGTGGTTAGCCCCGCGCCCCATCCTCTGCGGCCTCTTTTCTCCCCCGACCCCCCACGCCCTGTCCGTTGCCCCCAGCTCGCCCCACCAAGTCTCCCCAAAGCTCCCCAGGCCGGCCCTGCCCCCCCTCCCCGCAGGCTCTCCAAGTTGCAGGAAGAAAGAAGTTCCACCTTTTTGGCAGGAGGACTCTGGCAGCCGGGGGGGAAGCAGGCAGCCAGGAGCCACGGGAAAGGCGGGAGGGCGTGGCGTGGGTCTCACGTTGCAGCCTGGCCTGCAGCGCGCGCGGGGGGGACGGTGGCTGGCGGGGCGCAGCCGGCTCCCGCCCGCACTGGGGTTCCGAGGCGCGGCCGGAGGCCACTTCGTTCCTCCCGCAGGAGCGCAAGCCCGGCTCCTCGTGTCTTCCACGGCCGGAAGGAGGCCGTCTCCAGCGCTGCCGCCGCCGCCGGGAAGAGCGCGCGGGACGCGGGCGCTGCGGCGGCTCTCGGCGCTCCCGCGTCCCCAGGAATTCCTCTCCGAGCAGGAATAGCCCTTCCCTTGGGCGCCTGCCCTTCTTCCCGCGCGAGTGGGAGAGGCGTGCCCACCCGAGACCCGGCACAATGAAGAGGCGAGAGGAGGGCTGAGCGCAGGCAGAGCGGCGCGGCCAGGGGCGCCCGACTCCCTGGGGTGGGGCAGGGTGGGGGTGGGCCGAGGCGTGGACTCCAGAACACTCGGCGACGGGGATAAAAGGGCGGCGGCTCGCCGAGCCGCGTTGGGAAGCGCTGTCACCTCGCCCCCAGCCCCGGGAAGGGCATGGCTCCGGCGGACTCCGGGCGCTGCTGAGTCCCGCGCTCCGGCCCCGTGCACACTCAGGGCGCACGGCTCCGGCGGGCGGCGGCCTCCGAAAGACAGGTGAGGTCCGAGGGCAACCTGGGCTCCCGGTGGCGGGATACTGGCACTCTCTGCAAGCGGTGCAGGGAGCTGGGGGGTCGCCAAGGGGAAAGACGGGGAGGAGGGGCGTGGAGGCCAAAGGGCGCCTTCCACTGTCCCTGCACTGTTTTAAGGCACCGGGGGCCAGTGGCCATTCAGGACAGAAGCTGATGGAGTCTGGCAGGGGGACGGGCTGAGTAGCTCTGATGAAACCCGACCCTTCGCAGTTCCCCCTCCCTCCTTCCGCTTGGAGACCCCTAACCCCTCCACTCCTGGTTTCCTGGAAACCACCCACGGGACCCCCCAGGGAATCCGACTGCGCCCCTGCGTTGGTGGGGGGAGCTCAGCGGCGGGGGCCTCCGCCCCGACTCCTCTGGCTGCTGGCGCTCAAAGTCTCCTCCTCCTCTCCCTCTTTTCACGGAGACCCCGCGGCCCACCCGGGGCTGAGCCACGCGGGGGCTGCAGAACTCATCATCGGGGGGAGGCGGCTGTCGGAGTCCAGCTCCCAGGGGAGCCAAGGGGAAACCCGAGCCACGTTCCCGGAAGCTCCCATTTCTCCGCGCCGCCGGCGGGGCGCGGCGGAGAGGGCGCTGGAAGCCGGCCAGGGTGTCAGGGCTGCGCGCCTGGCCGCTCCAGGCTCCGCGCCCCGGGCGTGTGCAGAGCACAGCTTCCCGAGGTTTCGTGGCGCGCAACCAGCGGCCTTGCAGGCTCCGAGCGGTTTTCCCCCCGCCCTCGCGGACTCGGGACGAGGGTCCCCTGCGGCGCGTGCCCTCCGTCCCCCCGGGGGGGAGGACCGGGGAGGAAGGCAGCGGGACTGCCTGCAGACCCCGGGGCGCGAGCCGGGATGCCCTTGGCCCCAGCGCGGGGCCCGAGTCCAGCTCGCAGGCAGCAGGGGCGGGGCGGCCTGGGCGCAGGCCAGCCAGGAAACTCCTCTGTGCGGAGCTGAGCGTTTGGTTCCAGAGCGCCGAGGTGGAGCCTGGGCTTGCTCTCCGCAAAGCTGCCTGCGGCGTCGGCTGCTTAGGAGCAGCTGCGAGGCCAGGGGAGCCGGGGCTTAGGAGGCTGTGCGCGGACGCCAGGCAGGGGACCCAAACGCTAGGGATCGGGGGTGTTCTCCAGCCTGCAGGAGCTGGCGTGGAGGTTGTTATCAGCCCCGGGCGCTGGCCCAGAGCTGGGGCGAGTGGAGAGGAGAGGATTCTCTCTGGCGCCTTTTTTACTTTGCGTGGGGGTCCCTGTTTTTATGCAAACTTCATCGGAGAAAGGACAAAAATGTGAGAGGGTGACACATGCCCAGGGCGGGAAAATAGAATCGCTGAGGTAGCAAGGTAGCCGCAGCCACAGAACTTGCAGCTGGGCTTCCCTTCTCTCCTCTCCTCCCCTTTTCTTTTTTCTTTTTTCTTTTCTTTTCTTTTCTTTTCCTTTTCTCCTTTTCTTTTTCCTTTCTTTTCTTTTCTTCTCTTTTCTCTTTTTTTCTTTTCCTTCCTTCCTTCCCCTCTCTCTCTTTCTTTTTCTTTCTTTCTTTCTTTCTTTCTTTCTTTCTTCTTTCTCTTTCTTTCTCCCTTCCTTCCTCCCTCCCTTCCTTCCTCCCTCCCTCCCTTCCTTCCTCCCTCCCTCCCTTCCTTCCTTCCTTCCTTCCCCTCCCTCTCTCTCTTTCCCTACTTCTTTATTACTTTCTTCCTTGGTTACTTTTTTATATTTTGACCTCACTCATCCTTCCTTGGTGTGGGCGTTGCCCTGAACCTATTTCACCAGGCACTTTTTTTCCCCCCTTTTATGTCATGGCAGATCTTACAGACCTTTCCCCAAAGTTTCTCTTCTAAGGATTAAAAAAAAAAAAAAAGATGCTGTCTCATGACAATCCTTTGGCCCTTCCCCGGAAAAATAAAAATGAGGGATACCAGCAGACCCACAAAGGGCAGAATGGAGTTCGCTGCTGCGGTGAATGCCTGTTGGAGGACTTTAACATGCCACCAGCACTTGAACGGCTGTCGTTAAAAGAGAGAAAACCTGGTAACGATGACCTTCAGGGCAAGTTTTATTTGAATGACTCAGAATGAACTTGGAGTGGAGACAGGAAATTCTCTCTCTCTCTCTCTCTCCCCCCCACACACACACACCATAGTGCCATTCCCAAATCTTAGGACCCAAGCTAGAAATTGAGCTTTATGTTCTAGATTGAGGATGAACCTTGACGGCAAAGCAATAAATAAATAAATGCGTTTCAGCTTTTTGACTCCGATATTTTAAGCCTTGCGAAAATCTGTCGTTGCAGGACTCGGGCAGCTGCGAACCATGAGGCCCGACCCTAACATTTGCTGAAGCCGAGGACACGGCTCCCCCCGGCCGTCCGCGCATCTGCTGTTGTGGTCGCCCCTCCCCCTCGCAGATTTCCCGGGACCACCCACCCCCGACACGATGCCACCGTGGGCGCCCTGGCGGGCACTGTCCGTGGTGCTGATCGTGGTCTGGGCGCGCCCTCCGGCTGCGCGCGCCTGCCCGCGCCCTTGCGCCTGCTACGTCCCCAGCGAGGTGCACTGCACGTTCCGCTCGCTGGCGTCGGTGCCGGCCGGCATCTCCCCGCAGGTGGAGAGAATCAATCTCGGGTTGGTACCGCCTTCTCCCCGAGTCCCTGCGCCTCGCGGCCTGCGCGTCTCTTTGGTGTTGCATGTGCGTGTGTGCGCCTCTGCACCGGTCTGTCCCTTCCACCTGGCGCTCTTTCTAGAACGGCGGGCTCCTTGGCGAGGTTTTAGCGACTAAAAGTATGGCACTGGGGCCATTATCTGAATGTCTCCATCAGCTGCGGCCACCGTTACAAAGCTTAGTAGCAAAGCATCGGGGCAACTTCGACGGTAGAGACCGTTTGCTTGACAACCATGTGTTGATCTGTGGCCAATGCCAAGCTCACCACCCACGCGTAAACATAAGAATACTATTTAGGTGGCCTTCCGAAACGATTGAGGAGTGATCAAAACAAGAACGGACACCTCCGACATTGTGTAGCAGAGGTAGGTGAGGCAAGTGTCTCTTCCGGGAAGCCCAAGAATCCTTCAACATCTTGCCTGTTTCAGATATCGATCTATTGAACAGAGGTTTTCATGATGCATTCCAGATAGAATCTTTAGAGTTTAAAAGTTTATGTTATTCACCCAAATCCAAGGTGCATTGCACCCATAAATGGTAGTGGCTCTGAGTGACGGGTGCTCGTGTACAATTTTCACTGTAAGGAATCATTTGGACTTACTACTTTTGATCATCCAGAAAACACAGAAACCTAATTCAGGGTTTGCTGAATATCCCCCATTGAGACAGTTTAATGAAATGAAGATGTCAAACTTGAATCCATGAACACAAGATTTACACCTTGATGTATAGAATTTTTTTTAAATCTTCTTGTTTTTTTTCTTTAAGATTTTATTTATTTATTTTTAGAGAGGGAAAGAAGATAGAGAGAGAGAGAAACATCAATGTGTGGTTGCTGGGGGTTATGGCCTGTAACCCAGGCATGTACCCTGGCTGGAAATGGAACCTGCGACACTTTGCAGTTTTTTTACTTTAAAGATGTTTTAGCCCTGGCTGGCATAGCTCAGTGGATTGAGCGCGGGCTGCGAACCAAAGCATCGCAGGTTCGATTCCCAGTCAGGGCACATGCCTGGGTTGCAGGCCATGGACCCCAGCAACCGCACATTGATGTTTCTTTCTCTCTCCCTGCCTTCCCTCTCTAAAAATAAATAATTAAAATCTTTAAAAATCGTGAAAAAATACCCTAAAATACAATTTGAATAAGGCTTCCATTTAAAAAAATTTAAAAAATAAGACTTTTTTAAAAGTTTATTTTTAGACAGAGGGGAGTGGGGAAAAACACCAATGTGTGGTTGCCTCTTGCATGCCCCCCACTGGGGACCTGACCTGCAACCCAGGCATGTGCCCTGACTGGGAATCGAATCAGCCACCCTTTGTTTTGCAGACTGGCACTCAATCCACTGAGCCACACCAGCCAGGGCCTGTTTTTTTTTTTTTCTTTCAACTTTAAAGTCCAGAAATAGAATAAAATAATGGGAAGTTAATACAATCGGACAGGAACTTCCTTAATCCAAGACAACAGGCCACTAGGTCATGACTCAGTAAAATCTTGGGAAAGTTGATTACTTGACTGTCTGAAAACCCAGCCACGAAGATAATAGCTCCTTGGGGGAAAAACCATAGGAAGTTTGCCAGAAGCAGGAATATTAGTATCTAATCCCGTTTCCCTTATCCAATCATACATTTTATGAGGACCCAGTTTAGAGTTTTATCCCTCAAGATGCTTTGGCGTGACATTAAAAATAACCAAGGAATAGCTTCACTGCCTATACACGGGATAGATTATTTCCATCTGGCTTGATTGGGACCACGAACCCACATGCCCCATTTTTTGAGTTGCATTTGTAACCTCGCAGCGCTGCTTGTGAGAAACTCGTCTCGGAGGAGGTCAGGAGGCTGGCATCGTGTATTTTTGTTGGGGGAGACACAAGGACAGTGTTCAGCAATAGACCCAGCCTGAATTTTGCTAGCTCGTCTCTTTTTTTTTTACCAATTATGGGAAGAAGAGGCAACTCTCAAAGGCAGGAGGGGTTATTGGCAGGCAACTAGTGAGATATTTTTTTCCTCCACACAGATGTTCTTAGAATCCCCAGTCAGGATTTAGAAAGAGATTGGCTGTTTCCTGTTTGGATCGTCCTAACGCTTTAAAAAAAAATAATTTTTTTTTCTGTTTTACTTTCCAAACTTTTTGAGCAAACAAAACGAAAACATCCACTTAGAGTCTAATTCGTACACCTTTCCACGTTTTCCCCTTGATTGAAACTGATTTTTGACAACGTCTTTTTGGAATTCCCGAAATATGCAGAGCGCTCGTCTATTTTTTTGTGTGTGTGTTTATTTTTAAATTTTGCTCTGTGACACTCCCTGGCATCCCCGAAGCCGTTGTGCACCGAGTTCTGACGCGAGAGAAAACATTGCACTTAGGTCCGTAGCCAGGAACCGCCCGCCCCGTCGGCAGCTGAGAGAGACACTCCCCGCACGGCTGCTGGGTTTTAGGTGCATGCAGATGGGATTCACGCACACCCGCTGTGGGGTGGGGGGGGACATCCCGGCCAGTGCGTTGGCGTTGGCCTGGTTGACAAACTCCTCCCCGTCTGTGGCTAGCTCTCTGGTGCCTGCAAAAGGCAAGCGCGGCAAGAAGGTACAGGAGGACAGGCTGACACAGCAGCTACTTCGGGGAGACTGAGCCCCTGGCTGGCACCTCCTCGGTCTCCCTGCCTTCCTCCTGCTGGCCTCTCTGCTTGCCTTCACTCCTGGGGTCTTGCACTCGGTCTTCACGCCCGGGGCTTTCTCCTGTGATCCCATGGGCCGTGGGCAGCCGAAGGTGCCCGTGTGGGTGTCTGTCCGGGGGTTGGGTGCCAGCCTCCCCTTGGAGTGTCGCAAACGCCTTCAACAGAAACACCACGGCGGACATCGTTGTAAGCGGCCCGGCGGCCGTACACACCTGTCTCGCTGCTGCGCCTCGTCCCTCCAGACAGGAGGCGCGGTGCACCTGTGTGCTCACACCGGGGCGGAAGCTGTCCCTGCAGAGTGTCGCTCGTTTGCAGGTCCCTCGCTCAGCCCCCCTCGGTGGTTCCTCCCTCCAGCACGTCTGGAAGGTCTCTCCACCCGCCTCTCTCTGCTGCGTGCATCCCTCGTGTTAGCCACGGGCGGCAGCCTCCCTCCTGGGGTGCACCCGGCCTTTTCTGCCTCCGTGCCTGGCCGTCTCTGGCCCCTTGTCCGTGCAGCGGCCGGCACCGCTGCCTTCCCTCACACATGCCTCTGGTCACCTCCCTCCCGCCCCTCCTTAGAACGCTCCAAGGGCTTCTCGGGGAACTCAACACAACAGAAACTCTCTCCTTCTCCTTCTCCTCTTCCTCCCTCCCTCCCTCCTTTCTTCCTTCCTTCCTTCCATTGTCCTCCCTCAATCCATCCCTCCCTCCCTTCCTTAGAACGCTCCAAGGGCTTCTCGGGGAACTCAGCACAACGGAAACTCTCTCCTCCTCAGGGCCTTCCAGCTGCTGTGTACCAGCTCCCTGCCAACCCCCCCCCTCACCCCCATACCGTGGCCTTCCTTGCTGTCTGAGCGCCAGCACCGAACTCCAAAAAGGGGAGAAAATGTTAGACGTTGCTCTGCATTTCCTTTCTGCGTTCCCCGTCCAAGACAGATGGCCTTGCAGAATCTGAAAGAATGATATGCAAATCAGGCCCTGCGTTCACCCAGAGTCAGCCGTACATTGTGCTGCCACTGGCCGTTGACTTTAAGATTGTGGTGCGTTTAGGGGCACAGGTGCTTCCGAGAAGATTTGGCGTGAGCAGCCTTTGCCGCGTTTACCGGCGAGCTCTTCCCATGCCTTCTCTCCACACCCCTTCTTTTGGATTTAGGGGATAAAAGGAAGTAATAAAGTTGGGCTAGACATGTTCTGTTTCAGGAGAGACACACACACAGCATAACTGACCTCCAACGGTGCAAGGCACATAGTCCTCCATTCTAATGTGTTTTTTTAAAGATTTTATTTATTTATTTTTAGAGAGGGAAGGGAGGGGGAGAGAGAGAGAGAGAGAGAGAGAGAGAGAGAGAGAGAGAGAGAGAAAGAGAGAAACATCAACATGTGGTTGCTGGGGGCCGTAGCCTGCAACCCAGGCATGTGCCCTGGCTGGGAATCAAACCTGCGATGCTTTGGTTCCCAGCCCGCGCTCAATCCACTGAGCTACGCCAGCCAGGCATTTTAATGTTTTTAATCCTCACCTGAGGATAGGTTTGTTGATCTGAGATAGACAGAGAAATATTGATGTGAGAGAAACAAGGATTGGTAGCCTGCTTTATGCACTCTGTCTGAGAATGGAACCTGCAACCTAGGCATGTCCCCTGACCGGGGGGAATTGAACCCGTGATCCTTTGATGCACGGGACGATAATCCACCCAGGTGAGCCACCTGGCCAGGGCTCTGTTCCTTCCATAACTGGTTCCCCTGGGATGAACTCTGGAGATTCCTTGTGTCATTACAACGAAATGATAAGGATTTTCCAGTCCAGGAAGCGTCTTGACTCTTTTTGACGAAAAAAACAAAACAAAACAAAAAACAAAAACAAAACGCACTAACATATTTACCAATAACATAGATAATCTGCCAGGTGTGGCAACTTGTTCTTGTGCAATGAGGGTGTCCGTGTTTGGCTCTGAGTGTCACAATTGGGTTCTTTACTTTTTTGGTTTTAAAAAAAAACTTTATTTTTTGTTGTTGACACTACTGTGGATGTCCCCATTTTTCCCCCTTTTCTCCCGCCACCCGCTAGCCTCCGCCCCCCCTTCCCTGTGTCCACACCACACTGCTGTCCGTGTCCACGGGTCAGGGATGCGTGTTCTTTGGGTGTTCCTGTCCCCTTCGTCCGTCCAGTCCCCCTCCCCTCCCCTGTGACAGCCGTCACTCCGTCCGTGTGTCCACGCCTCTGTTTCCATTTCGGCTGTCAGTTTGTTCTGTTCCTTAGCTTCCACATATGAGTGCGATCATCTGGTATTTATCTTTCTCCGACTGGCTTATTGCACTTGTAATGCACTCCAGGTCCGTCCTCGCTGTTGCAAAGGGTAAGGTTTCCCCCTTTCTTTCTTTCTTTCTTTCTTTCTCTTTCTTTTTTATTTCCTTCCTTACTTCTTTTCTTTTTTCTTTTTTTTCTTTCTTTCTCTTTCTTTCTTTCTCTCTCTTTTTCTTTCTTTTTTATTTCCTTCCTTACTTCCCTCCTTCCTTCCTTCCTTCCCTCCTTCCTTCCCTCCTTCCTTCCTTCCTTCTTTTCTTCCTTCCTTCCTTCCTTCCTTCCTTCTTTCCATTCTTTCTTCCTCCCTCCCTTCCCTCCTTCCTTCCCCTTCAGCTCAGACTGTTTTCTCGGTACACACACAGCCACTTCTGGTACTGCCCCTTTCTCTCCATTCTTGGGGACCATGTGCGTCTCATCATCGTGGTGTTTCCAACGAGGGGCCATTGGAACTGCCTTCTTCCCAAACTCTAAACCCGGCGAATCTGCCCCAGACAGCCTCTGACCGCACTCAGACATTGCGACCCCGTTCCCGGCAGACGGCCCTGACCCGACCGAGGGCGCAGGCAGAGGACGCAGTGCTCACGACCCTGCAGAGGGACAAGGCCACGGGACACGCCTGGGCTTCGGGAACGGCGTACGAGACGCCGCACAACCGATGCGTGTTTGCCGAGCTGTTCCGTGCAAGGCGGGGGGGGGGGCGTGTCTGTGCGTGGGGTGGGGGCGCTCCCTGAGTCCCGCTGCCCTTGTGTGCCGCCCAGGTTCAACAGCATCCAGGCTCTGTCGGAAACCTCCTTCGCGGGCCTCTCCAAGCTGGAGCTGCTGATGCTTCACGGCAACAACATCCCGAGCGTCCCGGACGGCGCGCTGGGAGACCTCCGCTCCCTCCAGGTAAAGCCGGGCCTTGAGTGTCACCCCTCGGTGAGGCTCTTGGGGACCCTCCGCGACGAGGACGACTCCGCTTTGCTCCCCAGGGACCTCTAACCCCGTCCCTCTGACCTGCCAAGAAGCACGCTGGTTGCATTTCTTTAGCGTAACTTACTAGTCTGTCCAGATTCTCTGCTCCTTCTTGGACTCCGTTTTAGAGGACGCTATGCCCCTTGCAGCGTTACTTGCAATAGCCACGATTCGGAGGCTAGTTCGGAGTCGAGAGATAGAGGAGGGAATGAGGAAGACGCCGTGCATTGGCGTGGGGGAGTGTTAGTCAGCCGCGAGAAAGTAGGAGGTGTCACCGTGGGGGACACCATGGGGGCGCCTGCAGCGTCTTGTGCTCAGCAGAACAAGTCAGACAAGGACTACTGTGGCACGATTTCATGTGTACGTGCAACAAGATAAATAAACACAGTAGAAGTAGAGGCAGAAATACGTGGAGCAGACTGAGGGTTGCCAGAGGGGATGGGGGTGGAGGGGCCGGGCGAAGAAGGCGAAGGGATTAAAAAGGACAGACGGGCAGGTGCAGAAGAGGCACAGCACGTAAAGTCCAGCCCAGGGAACAGAGTCAGAAATGTTGTCCTAACTACAGACGGAGCCAGTGGGCACTAGGCTTGCCAGGAATCCCTAAGGCTGTATACACTTGAAACTAATATAATATTGAAGGTCAACTGTAATTCAAGCTAACATTTTTTTATTTATTTTTAGAGAGGGAAGGGGGGGAGAGAGAGAGAGAGACAGAGACAGAGAGAGAAAGAGAGAGAAAGAGAGAGGGAGAGAGAGAGAGAGAGAGAAAGACAGAGAGAGACAGAGAGAGAGAGAGAGAGAGAGAGAGAAACATCCATGTGCGGTTGCTGGGGACCGTGGCCTGCAACCCAGGCATGTGCCCTGACTGGGAATCGAACCTGCGACGCTTTGGTTCCCAGCCCGTGCTCCATCCACTGAGCCACACCAGCCAGGGCCAAGCTAAAATTTTTTTTTTAATCCAAGCTGCATGCTACCCCCTTTCCTGGCCTTTGCTCTGGTTTCGGTGTCCTGCTTGAGGCTTCCAGTATCACCCCCGGGACCTCACACCACTGCCACGCCCCCCCGCCTCCGCAGGTTCTCAAGTTCAGCTACAACAAGCTGCGCGTGATCACCGCGCAGACGCTGCGGGGCCTCCACGGCCTGGTGCGGCTGCACATGGACCACAACCAGCTGGAGTTCATCCACCCGCAGGCCTTCCAGGGCCTGACGTCCCTGCGGCTGCTGCACCTGGAGGGCAACCTGCTGCGGCAGCTGCACCCGGGCACCTTCGCCACCTTCTCCCTCCTGGGCCACTTCCTCCTGTCCGGCATCCGGCACCTGTACTTGGCCGACAACGGGATGCGCGGCCTCCCCGACGGGATGCTGCGGACGTTGCCGCTGCTGGAGAACCTCTACCTGCAGGGGAACCCGTGGGCCTGCGACTGCACCATGCGGGGGTTTGTGCGGTGGGAGGCCAAGTCCAAAGGTAAGGGGGGGAGAGGCCGCCCGTGCGTCGGCGCACCTGACCACAGAGGCTGCTTCCTCCCACCTGGGGATGCCGCTTGGGCCCGTACGGGGGCGGGGGGGGGGGCACAATCCCAGCCCCCGCTGGGGGGCGGCAGGAAACGCACAGGAGGGTGGCAGCAAGTTCAGTGTCAGGAGGCAGCTCTTCCGTCATTCAAGTGCACGCTGGTTGCTTAGAAAAGAGACCCCTTATTTATCTACTTGTTTTGTAATCGACACTCAAGGATATGTTTATGGCTCTTAGAGAGAGAGAGGAAGGGAGAGGCACAGACAGAGAGAAACATCGACGTGAGAGAGAAACATGGACTTATTGCCTCCCATATGCACCCTGATTGGGGGCTGAACCCACCATGTAGGTATGTGCCCTGACTGGGAATCGAACCCACAATCCTATTATGCACCAACCCACCAAGCTACCAGGCCACGGCTAAAGTCATGACCGTCAAACCCGTTACATACGGTTGACGAGGAGGGAGCTCATAGCATGAACGTGGGGAGGGGTAGGTCCCACCTGCCCTGCAGGTGGGTGTGGGGTGTTTGTGCGTCGTGTCCTGTGCGGGAGAACTCAGCGGGTGCTTGGAGGAGGGGAGGGTGGGGCGCCTGTGGGATCATTCACTTATGGGTGTGGAAGAGAGACGTTCTGCGTTGATCTCGAGGACAAACACCTTCAGAACCCAACTCAGGTCCTAAGAAAGTAGATTTTGATTTCAAGTAAGGAAGGTGACGTCCCTTTTCCTTTATTCACACCCTTTCCCGTGCCCCCGAACCCTTGGACCCCATTCTCCGGTGCCATTCGCTTCACCGCACCCTGGGGTCCCTGTGCTCAGGTGTCCCCCTGGTGCCAGCCCCCAGCTGGGGGTCGAGCCCCGTTGTGGCGTGGCTGGGAGGACAGTGGAGCGTTCCGGCCGGGTCCTCCGGCGGCCCTGCCTGCCCACTTCCTCCGTCAACCCTGCTGCCAGCATCGCAACCGGGTTTGGCACCGAGAACCAGCTCAGGCTTCCATGCTGCCCTGCTTTCCCGTGGCTTTTAGCATAAAACACGTGGCCCTGACCGGTAGTGCCTACGCAGAGGTGGGTGCACCTACCACCCACCCTCCTGCAGCATGCTGGCCTCACTGTGCTGCATACTGATTTCCGACTCAGCACCACGGCACCTGCGCAGCCCCCTGCCGAGCTACCTGCCTGGGAGACCTTCGGGGCACCGGCTCCTGCCCACACTCACATCTCTGGTGAAAGCTCACATCTCGGGGAGGCCTGGCCATCCTCAGGTCCCAGCTCGCCCTTCACGGGGACTTCCAGCGCAGGCGGCTGGCGTCGCCGTTTCTTGCGGCTGCTTCCCGTGGCAGGTGGCCTTCGCCCACGGCTTGGGGAGGAGCCAGGGGCTCCTATCCGTGGGCCCACGTGGCACCTGGCACTGGCGTTAGGTCATGTGACCATCAGAGGGGAAACGCAGAGGCGCACCTGTGTCTCAGTCCTTTTAACGACAAAATACACTCGGCACCTCCATGCCTATTTCCTTGGCGGGAACTAGTCCCCATTCGTGGGGTGCAAAGTGGGGGACGGGGACGGCATTGGGTTCATCCTTTCGCAGCAGAAATATTGACCCGTGGAAGGGGGCACAGGGCCATCTCGACCTCCTGGAGATACCCGGGCAAGTGCTGGCACGCACGGCTGTGTCTGTGTGTCCGTGTGTCCCTCTGTGTATGGACAGTGTGTGTGTGTGTGTGTGTGTGTGTGTGTGTGCTGGAAGGGGTTTGGGAAGCAATCCCATGTGCATTTGCAGCTGTTCCCTCTGAAAGTCACACAGAAAACTGGGGTCAGGGAGGGGAAAGGACATACCGTGGGGCCACCAGGAAGGCTTATGGTACGTCGCGTCCTGAGTGACGGACGATGGTTTCAGTGGTGGATTCCCAGCGGGGGTGGAAAGAGGTGGGTGGAAGCCACCAGCGCCGTTGAAATTACCTCTGCCCTGGCTGGGTGGCTCACTTGGCTACAGTGGCATCTCGTGTCCCAGAAGGTTGCGGGTTCGATTCCCATGAACGTGCACATAGTAGGCAACCCATCCGTATTTCTCTCCCGTTGATGTCTCTCTCTCTCTCTCTCTCTCTCTCTCTCTCTCTCTCGCTCGCTCCTTCTTCTCCCTCTGCATCTCTGTGTCTCCGTCTGTCTCTCTGTCTCCCTTCCTCTCGAAAACCCGTGAGAAAATGTCTTCGGGCCAGGATATAAACAAACATGAAAATCGAAAAGCACACTAAAAAAAAAAAAGTACTCGTTATTCACTGTCCAGCGTTCTAACACCCTGCGCGGTTAGCACGCTCTGCTAAACCGAGTTGAGGTCAGAAGGGAGGCTGCGGAGGCAAGGGGCGGGAGGCGCTGAATGGTTACGGACACGCATGCAGGTGACAGCCTCGTGCCCGTGAAGCTCCTTTGCCCCGTGGCCGTGGCGTGTGCTCCGCTCACGCGTGCCCTGTCTGTGTGCTTCTCTGCCGCAGGGGTCCTGAAGTGCAAGAAGGACAAAGCCTACGAGGGCGGCCAGCTGTGCGCCCTGTGCTCCAGCCCCGAGCGGCTGCAGGGGCAGGAGCTCCAGAAGCTGAGCGACCTGGCCTGCGTGAGGCCTTCCATCGCGTCCCCGCTGAGACACAACGCCAGCCTCGGCGGCGGCGGCAGCACGGAGGAGGAGGAGCGAGACCCGGAGCCCGAGACCGACGACCCGCCGCCCCCGGAGGGCCTGCGCTCCCCGCCGTGGAGCGTGTCCCTGAACATGAGCGACGAGCACGGCAACACCGTGAGCTTGGCCTGCGACATCCGGAGGCCCACGGGCCTGTACGGGCTGCACCTGAACCAGACGGACTCTCAGGAGGTGGACGTCAACGCCACCGTCGCCCTGGACTTCGAGTGCCCCATGACGCGGGGCAAGTACGAGAAGCTGTGGAAGCTGATCGCCTACTACAGCGAGGTCCCCGTGACGCTGCGCCGAGAGGCCGCGGCCGGCGGCGGCCCCGGGGTCGCCGCCCACTACCGACAGGACGCCGACGAGGACGCCCTGTACTACACGGGGGTCAGGGCCCAGGTCGCGGCAGAGCCTGAGTGGGTCGCCCAGCCGTCCCTGCAGCTGCAGCTGAACCGGCGCCAGAGCACAGCCGGGAAGGTGCTGCTGTCCTACTACGCGCACTTCTCCGTAACCGTGTCCGGCAAGGACGCAGGGCAGGCGCGGGCCAGGAGCTGGGTCATGGTGGAGCCCGCCGGCGCCGGGCAGGGGGCTCAGGCCGTGTTGGAAGGGACGTCCTGCCAGCTGAGCTGCAACGTGAAGGCCTCGGAGAGTCCGTCCATCCTGTGGGTGCTCCCGGACGGCGCGGTGCTCAGCGGTCCCACGGAGGAGCCGGACGGCAGGTTCTCCGTGCTCACCGGCGGGCGGCTGAGGATCAGGTCCGCAGAGCGGTCGGACTCCGGCGTGTACCAGTGCATCGCTCGGGTGACGGACGAGGCGGACCGGGCGCTCTACCGGCTTCTGGTGGAGCCTCCGGCCGCTCAGCCCTCGGGCACACCCACCGTGACTGTTCAGAAGCACCCAGGGGAGTCCCTCACGCTGCCCTGCACCGCGCCGGCCGTGCCCGACGCCCAGGTGAGCTGGATTCTCCCGCACAAGAGGATGATCCACCCGTCGGCCAACGGGTCGCAGGCCTACATGTTCCCCAACGGAACTCTGTCCATCCCCAGGGTGCAAGCCAGGGACAGCGGCTTCTACCGCTGCGTGGCCGTCAACCAGTGGGGGGCCGACCGCTTCACGGTGGGGGTCTCCGTGACCAAGCGGGGAGCCGGCAAGCCCCCCAAACGAGGCCGGCGCCCAGGCGGGAAGAGTGCCCCGAGGCTCCGAGGGGACGTGGTGGAGGATGAAGGAGGCTCCGGCGAGGGAGACGGAGACAGCCCTCCCAAGGACCCAGAGACATTCCTGCAGACCGAGGGGGACGCGCACGCCAAGAAAGGGCGCCGCAAGCCGAAACCCTGGAAGCACGCCGACGGGGAGCCGGACAGCAGCGCCGCAGAGGGCCGCCGGGCGTTCGAGTCCAGACGCAGGATCCACGTGGCCAGCAAGCAGATCCACCCCGAGCGCTGGGCCGACATCCTGGCCCGGGTGCGCGGGAAAACCCTCCCCAAGGGCACCCAGGGGCCCGAGGCCGCGACAAGCACCGCCCCCTCCGCGCGTCTAGACTTGGTCACCGCCGCCGCCTTGCCCGCCGTCCCTCCGCCCTCGGTGTCCCCGGTGCAGACGGCGGCCGCCGGGGCTGACGAGTCCTCGGCCGACGCGTCTCTGTTCGGGGAGGAAGAGCCGGTGTCGAGCGCCCTGTCCTCCAGCGGCCCGTGGCTGGACCGGGGCCACACAGGCGTGTCCCCGGCCGTGGCCGAAGCCACGAGCCCGGACCTGGAAGAATTCGTCGACGAGGACTTTCCCGAGAAGCCCGAGGACCCGATTGTCACGGAGGTTGCCTCGACGTGGCTGTCCTTTGCACCTTCTAAAGCTTCTGCTACGCCACAGGCCTGGGACGCGACCTCCAGAGAGCCCACCGCCGGTGACAACCCCGCCGCGGAAGACCGCTCTGCCGTTGCCGCGGCGCCCGTGCCAGCGCCCGGGTCCCACAAAGACGCGTCCCCTTTGGGTGCCACCACCGCCGCGTTGGCTGAATCACAGCCCGGGACCTCCGCTTCCCCGGCGCTGGAGGTGAGTTCCCCGCCAGGGGAAGAGGCGGTGGAAGCCCAGGATTCCCCATCTTCGACTGCAGCCTCTCCCTTCTCCCCGGCCGAGTCCGGGACGACTGAGCCCGCTGCGGATTTCTTCGTCTCAGGGCAGCCAGACGGCCCGGCACGAGGTCAGCGGCGACAGGAAGCCACGGACAAGCCCCCGCCGGCACAGGCCGGGTTCAGCACCCAAGCCAAGCCCCCGAGGAGAAAGGGCACCTCAAGGAGCTCTCCGATGCCCCAGCGGCGGGGAGACGCCGCCGAGAGGCACCCCCCACGCTCCAGGGGACCCGACGGGAGGCGGCGGCAGCGTGTGGAGGCCGCCCCTCCGCCTGACTCCGCGCTGGGAGGCGGCAAGCACGGCACGGCCGCCCTGGACGGCGTCGGGGCAGCCACGCTCGGGTCTCTGCTTGGCCAGCACACCACCGCCGCCGCCGTCACCACGCCGCCGCCGACCCAGCAGGCCACGGCAGCGCCGGCGGCCACCGCCCACACTCCTCGGAGAAGACCCCACGGGCGGAGGAGGTTGCGGCCGCACAGATTCCGGCTGCGGCACACGCAGAGCCCGCCCACGGCCGCTGCCCCGACGGAGACTTTCTCCGCCCCGCCAACCCGGGCGCCTGTCGTGAAGACCCCCGAACAAGGGGGTGCTCTGCCGCTTCCTACGTCCGGGGCGGACACGACGGCGGTCGGGACCCCGAAACCTGTGGACGTGGGGACCCGTGCGGAACACGTAACCAAGGGGAGCCCACGCAGGAAGCACGGGAAGAGGCCCAACAAGCATCGGTCTAACGTGTCTACGGCGACCTCGATCATGTCTGCGCCCCAGCCTGGTCCTTCTGCAGAAAACAGGCAGGCCAGCACCGGGACCCCCAGCCCGGAGACTTCCCCCACGTCTACAACGACTTCTCTGACAACGGGGGTCCCCCGGGAGACGACCAGAGTGGCAGATGACGTGGCCACCGCCCCCAAGACGCCCGCACCTCGTCGCGCATCCGAACGGACCGTGCCAGCCACACCTCTGTCTGTATCCCACGACACAGAAATGGAGAGTTACAGTGTCCCCAACACCGACGACGGTACAACGGACAGTGTGGTCCCTGCCGCGTCAGCCATGAACGCCGTGTCCCCTTCGGGCCCCGAGGTCCTCACCGTGGGGGCGTTTAAGGAGGAGCCCCCACCTTCTGGCTCTCCGGCACCCGGAGGCTGGGGCGCCCCCAGCCCGGCCCGGCCCGGGAGGCCGCCCACAGACGCACCGGCCACCGCATCTTCGGAAAACCTCAGGGACGCGTCGTCCCCTTCTGGGAAAGAGGGGGAGGACAAGCACCTTCCCTCCGTAGCGTCTCCTTCCGGGGCGGCCTCTACTGTATTTCAGCAGGAGGACGTCCTCCCTTCCACGGCTCTCTGGAGCACCGGAGCGGAGACGTCGTCACCTCAGGAGCCAGCCACCCTGAGTGGCCGGGACTTTTACGGGACCCCCACCCCCGAGGCTCCTCCTCCTCCTTCTGGGGAGAGACCGGGGCATCCCCTTCCCCCTCCCGCCCCGGCGGGAGACCCAGCATCCCCAGCGCTGCCCACGACGCGCGCGGCTGTCGCGCAGACCACCACGGAGCCCGCCGCTCTCACGCCCACGGCAGCTCCGATGCCCACGGGCTCCAGGGAGAATGCCTTCGTCAGTCACGGGGGGCTCCCAGACGCCCACGCAGCCCCGGGGAACACCCCGGGGACACAGCCTCCGTGGAGAACGCAGGAACTATCCGCCCCGTCGCCCAGGGAGCAGGAGGATGTTACGTCAACTCCAGCGCGAGGGTTAGGGAAGGAAGCCCTGGACGAGAGCTCCAGAAACACCCTTCCGCACGGCCCGGACCCTCGCCGCCAGGACGGGAGGGGCCACGGGTTTCACCCACCGACCAGGGTGCCCCCCAGAGGGACCGCGAGGCCGCCTCCCACGACCACACAGAGCCCCTCCCGGCGCACGGCGACTCCACGGCCCCCTCGTTTCTTCACCAATAAACCGGGAGTGACTGCGTACCCTTCGAGGGTGCTGCCGACGAGGACGCACTCGGGGACCCCCAAGCCCCCGGGTCCCGCCACCCCGGCCGGCCCGTGGCCCAGCTCCAGGCCTGGCATCCCGCCTGACCGACTCCACGGCAACTCCCGGGTGCTGGGGAGCAGCAACAGCCTGCCGGACCTGAGGGACCCCGTGGGCCAGCTCCCCAGCGCGCGGGCGCCTCACGCCTCTGGCCGCGGCGGCTTCCCTCTCCGCTTCAACAGGACTTTCTCTCTCCCGCTGCTGGGGGTCACGGTCAAGCCCCCAGCCCCAACCTCCCCTGCCCCGGCGACGGCAGACAGGAGAGCCCACCCGAACCCCTACAACAGGATCCATGCCCACGGCGGCAGCCACCTGGACTTCGGCCCCCCCGCACCGCCAATGCTGCCCCGCCCCCGCTCGACGGCCCCACCCTCCCGCCACGCGCACGACCTCCCTCGGGTGCCCCCCACCCGCAGCCCCCTGCCCTTCGTGACATCCGCCGGCCCGCCTTCCAGAAGCTTCCATCAGAGCAGCCCGAAGCTGTTCTCGGCCGCGGGGCCGCCTGCCTCCAAACTCTGGACGCTCGGGGAGAAGCCGCAGATAGTCACCAAGTCCCCGGCGACTGTGTCCGTCACGGCGGAGACCGACGTGGTGCTGCCGTGTGAGGCCACAGGGAATCCCCAGCCCTTCGTCACCTGGACCAAGGTGTCTACAGGTAGGACGTTTATAAGCGCCGGCGTCTTTACTGGGACGTGTCGTCGGAGGGGCCGCTCCTGTGTGTGGCCTCGGGCACAACCGGAGACGGTGGGTGCAGGGGGAGGGGGGAGACACGCTGACAGGAGAGGGGGCACGTCAGACACCCCAGCGTCATGCGTGTTCCCCTGGGCAGACAGCAAGTAAGGAAGGTGAATGCATGTGACGTGTTCTTGGAGCCCTAGGAACATGTAACACGTCATTTGGACGGGGAACAATGTACACGTAAGGGTCATTCACAAGGGAACCTCTTAGCTCTCCCCGAAACAGGAGTCTTTTGCCTGCGCCCCGTAGGCCGGTGCAGTGTAGGTTCACGGAGGGTGGGTAGGTCCCCCCGGGCCTTTCGGCGGCTTGTGAAGGTAAGTGCCCCTCGTTCCGAGGCCATCAGGCGTTGGTTTGACTTGAATCTAGAGACACAGTTGGCTCCGTTGGCTACAGCTGCCACCACAGGCACTATACGTGGGGCAGCTTTCGCTGCAGACATTTCTCCGTCCCCGTCCTGGAGCCTGGAGGCTGGAGGCTGACACCCAGGGGCGGGCAGGGCTGGCTCCCCCTGAGGCCTCTCTCTCTCCTGGGCGTGTGCACGGCTGTCTTCCCCCCGAGTCCTCCCACGGGCGTCCCTCTGGCTGTGTCTGTGTCCCCAGCTCCTCTTCTTACACGGACCCCAGCCCTGTGGGACCAGGGCCACCTGACTCACCTCACTTTACCTTAGTCAGCTCTCCAGAGATGCACCCCCAAATCCAGCCCCCCATTCTGAGGTTCTGGGGATCAGGGCTTCAGCGTAAGACTTTGGTGGGGGGGGGGGCACGCAAGTCAGCAGAATCCCAATACACACAAAGCCCTTTGCTCCGTAGACATGACTCCCGCTTCCCGCACACACAGAGGTGATTTCCCGCTGACAGAAGAAACTAAAGGCTCCGAAACCCCAGCTTTGACGCAAGCTGTCCCTTTCTTTCCCATTCTCTCTCCTTCCCCCTCCACACGGCTGCGACCCTCAGGCCTGGGTTCTGACCGGAGACGTGGTTTTCCCCCCTTTCGTTGGGATCCTACACCCAGGCTTTGTGCTAGGAGCCCCCGGGAGCGCCCTGTGCCTCCTTGTCCCCCCTGGGCGGCAAGCACGCCCCATGTCCGCCGCCTACAGCGGGGCCTGTTTCGTCTTGTGTGCGTCCGATGTCGCGTATCTCCCCGTGGTCCCTCAGCCAGCTTGCTGGACGTGGCTCGTGGCAATGCCACGGGGTTGTCGTTGTGAAAGGACTGAGCGCACGAAGGGAGACACCTCCTCCCACAGGGATGCTTCCGCGTGGGTCCTCAGGGCCTTCTCCGCCCTGCTGCGTGTCCGAGCATGCCCGCAGTGGTAGACATTCACGCACGTGCTTCCCCTTTCCAGGAACCCCCTTTCTCCTGGCCGGCTGCGTCTCGGTGAGCTCGCCCCGGTTTGTAAGGAGCTCTCTCTCATGGCCTGCCTGAGCGAATCCTTTTGCACTCACTGGGTGTTCACTGCTGTGGGCACAGCCCCTCCATCGTATTGAGCTTTTTCTGCCGGAGCAACCAGGGTAGCTGCTTTGTGGACACCCGTATCCTAGCCCAGCCTCGCCAGCACCTGCCCTCCTACCCCAAACTCAAGGCAGTCGCTAAGCCGTCCTGTAGTTCTGAATCGTGAAATGCGACAGGGCGAGGCAGGCTCCTGTGGTGGGGGCAGGTGGGCAGCGGCTAGCTTTCCAGGCCCACGGCCACTTGTGGTTGTGGAGAACCGCTTGGGCGTGAAGCAGGCTGACGAGTCAGCGGCCTCACGGGGAAGGCCAAGCCACACCTGTGCGGTGGCGGTCTGGGCTGACGCACCTGCCCAGCCGGCCGGCTCTGCAGCAAGCAGCAGAGGTCTCAGCAGCTGCCGCAGGCATGTCACAGCCCTGTCTGAGTGTTGTCCCCTGGAGGACCCATCCTTGGGGACAGGGCAGGCCGCTCAGGGGATGCATCGCATTGGCCAAGGACATGAGCCAAGCTCAGGAACGGGACTGGGGAACGCTTCCGGGGTTCCAAGTCCCCCTCAAGAAGTAAAGCTGTGATCCTAGACAGAATTGATAAAGCAAGAGGCCGAGAAGAGAGTCATCGTGAAAACAAAAAGAGCCCTTAGTGTAAGCCAGGACCCAGGGATGCAGCCAAGATGGCTTAAACATGAGACTTGTCGCCCTGGCTGGTGTAGCTCAGTGGATGGAGCGCGGGCTGCGAACCAAAGTGTCACAGGTTCGATTCCCAGACAGGGCACATGCCTGGGTTGCAGGCCACGACCCCCAGCAACCGCACATGGATGTTTCTCTCTCTCTCTCTGTCTCCCTCCCTTCCCTCTCCAAAGATAAATAAGTAAAATCTAAAAAACAAATGAAAGCTGTCCAGGCTTTGGACATGGGAGGGATTATTGTCCAGGCACGGCAAGGCCGACAGAGCAGCCACAAGGGCTGTGGAGAACATAGCTGGCTCCTCACTGTCCCCTCCAGAGAAGGGGACACCCCTGCACACACAGGGTGACATGGGGGGGCAGCAGCAGGCTGGGTCGGAGCAGAGAGAGAGGGAGAGAGGGGGGAGAACATGCATGACAGAGTGTTACTGTGGTTTTCCCGGGAAGGAACACTCACAGCGGACTGGGCAGGCTTAGCCCAGCTGGCCTCGGTGACACTGGTGGGTGTGAGGCACCCCGGAGGGTCCCTGGTTTATAAACCACGCAGCCTGGAGAGCGTGGGGATGAGGAGGGGGACAGGTCTCGTCCACCGTCGGGAGAGGCCCCCCACACGGGGCCGAGCAGGGTCTGCGGACTCTGGCTGAGCAGAGGTGGACGGTGGCGGCTGCCAGTCTGGGCGGCCCCACAGCCCGCCTGGGGACTGCAGCTGGGGCGGGTCCTCGCGTCTGTTGTCTCCGGTGCATGATGCTTGTGTGCTCTGGACTGCAAAGCCGGGTTTCTCGCGAAGCTGACCGTCCCTGTTTCTGACCTCCCTCCCCCCGCCCCCCCCCCAGGCGCCCTCATGACCCCCAGCACCAGAGTGCAGCGCTTCGAGGTGCTGAAGAACGGCACCTTCGTCATCCGCAAGGTGCAGCCGCAGGACCGGGGCCAGTACATGTGCACCGCCAAAAACCTGCACGGCGCCGACAGGACGGTGGTGCTGCTGTCCGTCACGGTGCAGCAGCCGCAGATCCTGGCCTCCCACTACCAGGACGTCACGGTCTACCTGGGGGACACCATCGCCATGGAGTGTCTGGCCAAGGGGACGCCGGCCCCGCAGATCTCCTGGATCTTCCCCGACCGGAGGGTGTGGCAGAACGTGTCCCCCGTGGAAGGCAGGGTCACGCTGCACGAGAACCGCACCCTGTCCATCAAAGAGGCGTCCTTTGCAGACAGGGGCGTGTACAAGTGCGTGGCCAGCAACGCGGCGGGCGCCGACAGCCTGGCCATCCGCCTGCACGTGGCGGCGCTGCCCCCGGTCATCCACCAGGAGAAGCTGGAGAACATCTCGCTGCCCCCGGGGCTCAGCATCCACATCCACTGCACCGCCAAGGCGGCGCCCCTGCCCAGCGTGCGCTGGGTGCTCTGGGACGGCACCCAGATCCGCCCTTCGCAGTTCGTGCGCGGGAACCTGTTCGTCTTCCCCAACGGCACGCTCTACATCCGCAACCTGGCGCCCAAGGACAGCGGGCGCTACGAGTGCGTGGCGGCCAACCTGGTGGGCACGGCGCGCAGGGCCGTGCAGCTGACCGTGCGGCGCGCCGCGGCCAACGCGCGCATCACGGGCACGTCCCCGCAGAGGACCAACGTGCACTACGGCGGGACCCTGCGGCTGGACTGCAGCGCCTCCGGGGACCCCTGGCCCCGCATCCTCTGGAGGCTGCCCAACAAGCGCATGATCGACTCGCTGTTCAGGTACGTGCGCGCCCCCGTCACCCCCGCCCCGCCTCCAGCTCAGCCACTGGCCTGGGGTCCTGCGCGCGCGCGCGCCCGCTTCCAGCGCCGGAGACACCTCTCCACGGAGTGTCCTTGTGCGCAGGATGGAGACGCGCAGGTGTGGCTCGGTCTGTGCGCTGGCCCCGGAGCGATTGCTCTGCACGCCTGGAAATCTGGTCCTCACAGCCTGGCCTCCCTGTTTTGCCACCCACACCCCCAAATGAACCAAAAAGAGTTTTCTTTTTCTTTGGAAGTGTTTTATTTATTTTTAAAGGTTTTATTTGTGTATTTTTAAAGAGAGGGGAAGCGTAAGAGAAAGAGAGGGAAGGAAACATCCATGCGTGGTTGCTTCTCACATGCGCCCCCTACTGGGGACCTGGCCTGCAACCCAGGCATGTGGCCTGACTAGGAATCGAACTGGTGACCCTCCGGTTCCCAGGCCCCCGCTCAATCCACTGAGCCGCACCCGCCAGGGCTAAATAGCTTGTTTGAATGATTTTCGTTTTAACTGTATCTTTCATGATAAGATTACATAAAGGCAGTCTACATTAATATGTAATTTGTACAACACACATAGAAGCTTCCAGTGTCGTTAAATGGCCTGAAGGAAAGGAGGTAAAACGAAATAGTGAAAGCAAGGTGTTTCTGTAGTCCCCCCTGTTGCTTTATATATATATTTTTTTATTTTAATTTCTACATGTACAGTTGACAGGCAATGTTCTATCAGGTCGAGGTGCCCAGCACGGCGGTTAGACATTTATGTGACTTGTAAAGGGATCCCCCCGACAAGGCCAGGAGTCACCTGGCACTATGCACAGTCCTTACGATATTTCTGCCGCTTATTCTGCCGGCTGCACTTTCGGTCCCGTGAGGACTCTGTAACCGCCAGCCTGGGCTCCTCCGTCCCTTGCCCTGAAGGCGTTGGGGCAGCACCAGTGTGGCCCGTGGGGCATCCTGAGACGGATGTGTCCAGGAAGGAAGCTGGCTTCTCCTCCTCGGCCGTCCTCAATCCCCAGACCCATGGGTCCAGAGCAGAGGGGACCATCGCGTCCCCCTGGGGACATCTGGCGGGGTCTGCAGGGGTTGGGGGATGATGCGCTTCAGGGAAGGGAGGTCGCTCGTGGCACCTGGGGGGTGGAAGGTGCCCAACACCCTCCAGTGCCCAGGGTGTGCCCCCCCCGCCCCTGCATCTGAGAGTCTCGGCACTGAAGTTTAAGGTGCTTTGTTAGCATGAGAGTGTCTGTGTCGACCATCCATCTCCCTGTTCATCTGTGTATCTCACCTGTCCATCTGTATTCATGGATCTATCACTTACCTATTTCTGTCTTTCATTTATCCACTATTATCTGTCTGTGTGTATATCTGTCTCTCTATTCACCACTTAGCATTTATCTTCCCTTTATGTAGCTATCCTGTAACTTTTATCCATCATCTATCATCTGTCTATCAACCCATTCTCTATCTACCATTTGTCTGCCCACCTATCTATTTACTTACCTGTCTGTCTAGGTAGCTATCTGGCCTCTACTTATCTATCATCCATCTATGTACCGATCATCTCTCTATTTATCTATCTGTCTATTGACCGGTGGTAGTCATTCTCTACCACCCGGCTGTGCCGCCAGGGCACACCCATCCGTACAGTCCTTCTCAGCACCGCTGGGGGTGGGAGGTGTACCTACCTCCCAGGTGGAGACCAGAGAGGCTGGGTCAACACCCTGTAGTGCCCAGGGCAGCCTGCCACACAGACTCACTTAGCCCTAAATCCAGGAGAGCGTGGGTCTATCGTGAGCCTCTCAAGGTCTGGAGGGAAGAAACCGCACTGCGCAGTGAATGCGGGGAGTGTCCGTGGCTTATGGTGCGTCTTCTGCACCCCCGGCTCACACGGGAAGGCATGTCAGCCTGCCCTCCTCCGCAACACGGGGCAGGGGCCAGCGAGCATGGGCTCAGCACGGCGGTGTCTCCCCAGCGCGTCCCAAAGCCGGAGAGGGGCGAAGGTGCCTTCTCCTTCCCTACGTGCATGTCAGAAGGCTGGGTGGTGCCTCACCCCCCTCGCTCCATCAATGCAGAACGCACTGTACCCCATTTCCCCTGGGAAATCTTCCAGCGAGGGGGTGCACTGCCATGCAGAGACGTGTTTCCGGTTGACCCTGGCCCAGCGGAGGCAGGGTGAAGTTCAAAGAATACCGTCCCCGACAGCTTTGAACAAATGCAGTAGCACCTCCCTATCAGTCACGAACCATCGTGCCTGACGCCCCATTACTACTAAATTCTGCCCGTGGATCTTCCTCGTTAAGTGTAATTGAACAGCCCACGTGACTCTTGCTCCTGGCCCTGCGTCCACACTGGAACGAATGAAAAATATGGAAATTGCTCAACTCAGTGATGTGTGACCACATTATTCAGTTCTCAGTTGTTGCCGATATAAGAGTCGAGGGTAGGAACCACTGTTCCAGAAGCTCACAAATGTTTGCAGGCATGTGGTCCTCGACACACTTTGGGGTTCACACGCCAGGACCTGCCAAACGATCCTCGTTTCCCTCTTATCCCAGCCGGCGAGGTTGGCGTGACTCTCACCGAAAGCCTACAGAACGCGTTCTTTAACCACGGTCCATGGGCGCTTTTATTCACGACAGTAATCTGGCCATGGAGCTGAGGTCCATCCTAGGCAGGCTTATGTCTTCTTGGGTGTCTACAAGGCAGTTCCAGACGGAGATTAAGAAGGCATTGCTTAGAGAGTACTTAGGGGTTACGTGGAAGTGCCCCCCCAGCCCCCAACCCTAGCACTCATGAGGCTGTTATGATTTATGAGTGACTTGAGATGTTCAATCTGGACAGTTAGAAGGGAGGAGCCTCCCACATCTGCTCACACTGATATTTGGCAACATTAGCTCTGACGTGCTCAAGGAAACAAGAATGTTTATAGACGCCCCTGGCTGGCGTAGCTCAGTGGATGGAGCACGGGCTGTGAACCAAAGCATCGCAGGTTCAATTCCCAGTCAGAGCACATGCCTGGGTTGCAGGCCACGGCCCCCAACAACCGCACATGGATGTTTCTCTCTCTCTCTCTCTTTCTCCCTCCCTCCCCTCTCTAAAAATAAATAAATAAAATCTTTTAAAAAAGCTTTATAAAAAAAAAAGAATGTTTATAGACATGTCACGTGTCCAGGAAAGATCTTTTGAACATTTTCCGTGTTGTCGTGCTAAAACAAAAGCTTTTTCTACATGTTTGCTCAGAGCTGTGTGAGCTTGGGTTCAATGTAAAAGCTTTTTTAATTGACTTTTAGGGAGAGAGAGGAAGGAAGAGAGACAGAAAAAATGATTCGCTGTTCCATTTTATCGACGCCTCCATTAGTTGATTCCTCTATGTGCTCTGACTGGGGATCGAACCCACAACCTTGGTGTATCGGGATGACGCTCTAACCAACTGAGCTACCCGGCCAGGGCCAAATTCAACTTTGACCATTTCCTCTGGAGGGAAGCAAAGCCAGCTGGGGGCTGCTAGCTGGCGGAAGTCACTCAGCTTTGGTTTCCGGTTGTAGGGAAGCAGGCTGCCCCGATATTGCATGTTCTGAAGAACGCCATGCTCGCATGGAAGTTCTAGGTGAAACCACAATGATGTCACCGACAGTATAGTCATTTTGCTTTGTGTCGTCTCATAGTGGGATACAATATCAACTTAAAAATCATCGAGACTAAAAGCAGGCTCTAAAGCACTTTTTCTATCAAGAACTTCATGTCTCTCTCTCCCTTTTTGAGATTTTATTTATTTACTTTTAGAGAGAGGGGAAGGGAGGGAGGAAGAGAGAGGGAGAGAAACATTCATGTGTGGCTGCCTCTTGCACGCCCCCTACTGGGGACCTGGCCCATAATGCAGGCATGTGCCCTGCCTGGGAATTGAACCGGTGACCCTGTGGTCTGCACACCGGTGCTCCATGCACTGAGCCACACCAGGCAGGGCACAGCTTCATCCCTTTAGGAGATGAACTCACATTTGTTCTGCCTGACTTGATCACTAACATAAAATCTGCCCTGGCTGCCAGGCAAGTGCTTGATGGACACATTGCCCCCCCAACAGGGCTGGTGTCTTTGACTGTGTTTCACATTCTCCAGTCAGTAGCCGGGCCTCCAAAAAGTCGGACTCAACTGGGGAGTTCTTGTGGGCCGTAAACACGTCATTTGTGCATGTGGACACAGCGCCGTCCAGGCCGCAAAGATCAGCTGACGTTTTTCAGGAGCGGTCGGCTGTGTGAGCTCATCGTTCCCAGCCCCACGCGGTGGTGCTGCGTTCCACGCACCCACGGCCACGTGTACCAGCCTCTGGGGTTCTGACGTCTCCTTCCTTGTCTCTCTCTCTCTCTCTCTCTCCCCCCCGCCCCCACCAGCTTCGACACCAGGGTCACGGTGTTCGACAACGGGACGCTGGTGGTGAGGTCCGTCACCGACAAGGACGCCGGGGATTACCTGTGCGTGGCCCGGAACAAGGTGGGCGACGACTTCGTGGTGCTCAAGGTCAACGTGGTCATGACGCCGGCCAAGATCGAGCACAAGGAGGAGAGGGACCACAGGGTCTTCTATGGCGGGGACCTCAAGGTGGATTGCGTGGCCTCGGGGCTCCCCAACCCCGAGATCTCCTGGGGCCTCCCCGACGGCAGCCTGGTCAGCTGGTTCATGCAGTCGGACGACAGCGGCGGGCGCACGAAGCGCTACGTGGTCTTCCACAACGGCACCCTCTACTTCAACGAGGTGGGCATGCACGAGGAGGGGGACTACACCTGCTTCGCCGAGAACCAGGTCGGCAAGGACGAGATGACCGTGCGCGTCAAGGTGGTCACGGAGCCGGCCGCCATCCGCAACAAGACCTACTCGGTGGTCCACGTGCCCTACGGGGACGTGGTCACCGTGGCCTGCGAGGCGAAAGGGGAGCCCACGCCCAGGGTCACGTGGCTGTCTCCCACCAACAGGCTGATCCCGGCCTCCTCCGAGAAGTACCAGATCTACCAGGACGGCACGCTGCTCATCCAGAAGGCCCAGCGCGCCGACGGCGGCAACTACACCTGCGTGGTCAGGAACAGCGCGGGCGAGGACAGGAAGGTCGTGTGGATCCAGGTCGACGTGCGGTCGCCCAGGATCAACGGGAACGCCGACGCCATCACCACCGTGCGGGAGATCGCCGCCGCGGGCAGCCGCAAACTCCTCGACTGCCGGGCGGAAGGCGTCCCCGCCCCGAAGGTGTTCTGGGCCTTCCCGGAAGGCGTGGTCCTGCCGGCCCCGTACTACGGGAACCGGGTCACCATCCACCGCAACGGCACGCTGGACATCAAGAGCCTGCGCACCAGCGACTCCGTGCAGCTCACCTGCATCGGGCGCAACGAAGGCGGCGAAGCCCGGCTCATCGTCCAGCTCACCGTCTTGGAGCCCCTGGACAAGCCCGTGTTCCACCACCCGGTCAGCGAGAAGATCACCGCCATGGCCGGCCACACCATCAGCCTCAACTGCTCGGCCGCGGGGAGCCCGGCCCCCACGCTCACGTGGGTCCTGCCCAACGGCACGGAGCTGCGCAGCGGCCAGCAGCTGCTCCGCTTCTACCACAAGCGCGACGGCGTGCTCCACATCGGCGGCCTGTCGGCGGCGGACGCCGGGGCGTACCGCTGCGTGGCCCGCAACGCCGCCGGCCACTCGGAGCGGCTGGTGTCCCTGAAGGTGGGGCTGAAGCCGGAGCCGAGCAAGCGCTACCACAACCTGCTGAGCATCATCACCGGGGAGACCCTGCACCTGCAGTGCCCGTCCCCCGGCGGCAGGCCGGCCCGCTTCTCCTGGACGCTGCCCAGCGGCGCGGCGCTGCAGGGGCCCCAGACCCGGGGACGCTTCTCCCTGTGGGACAACGGCACCCTGACCGTGCGCGAGGCCTCCGTGTTCGACCGGGGCACCTACGCCTGCAAGGCGGAGGGCGAGCACGGCCCGTCGGTCATGCACTTCCCCGTCATCGTCATCGCCTACCCGCCCAGGATCACCAGCGAGCCCACGCCGGTCATCTACACGCGGCCCGGCAGCACCGTGAAGCTGAACTGCCTGGCCATGGGCGTCCCCAAGGCCGAGATCACGTGGGAGCTGCCCGACAAGTCCCGCCTGACCGCCGCCGCCGGGACGCAGGCCCGCGCGCTGGGCCACCGGTTCCTGCACCCCCAGGGCTCGCTGACCATCCAGCAGGCCACGCAGAGAGACGCCGGCTTCTACAAGTGCACGGCCAAGAACCTCCTGGGCACGGACACCAAAACGACTTACATCCACGTCTACTGAACCCCCCGCCCCCCCCCCACCACCACCCCAGGGCTCTGCTGGGCAGCTCAGCTGGAACAAAGCTGCGTTTGTAAGGAGGGCCCTGGGGTGGCCGGCCAGCTGCAGCGGGGAAAGGATTCGTCACGGGGCACGGGGCGACCCACTCCCCTCCGTTGGCGTTGCAGTGCGTGTTGACTCTGACCCGGGCTGCTGGGCGAAAGGAAGCGGCTCAGACGGGAAAGGAGGAGTCCCCTCTCTCCGGGGGGTGGGGGGGCTTCCCTGGACGTTCACGGGGCGCCACGGGCTGTTCCACGGAGTCTGCGTGAGAACCGCGATTTCTAGGGTGCACACGGTGCTCCGGCCTGCCCCCAAGGCTCCGTCCGCGGCGCGTCTGAGAAGCGTTCTCTGGAACGGGAAGCCCCGGACCGACAGTGCCTCCTTGTCTCGCCTAGGTAACCCGCGTCAGGTGTGTCACAGAACATTCTAGAAGCGCTTCCCATGTCTCCGTGACGCCCTCCGGCACGTCCAAACTGCAGTTTGGCCAATAAGGGCGCAGAGCCAGAGCGATCCAATTTTTTTTTGTTTGTTTTTTTAACGTACAACTTTTCTACCACACAGCTACCCTTTCACAGGAAAGAACTCTTGCTCCCCGGAACTCCCTTTTTTATATAAATATATATATGTATATTTTCTTTCTAATCAGACGATGAGCATAGAAAGAGAAAGAAAACGCTTTCTGTCTCATTAAAAGTAATAAATTATTGGTCTTTACAAGACTTAGATACGTGAGAGCAGGTATGGAAATGCGATTAAAACAAGTCCTCCACCCCGTTCTGCACATTCAGTCATTGTTATTATTTGGCCTTGCAGGAAACCCTGCCGGGGGGAGGAGGCGGGGGGATCGGATTTCCTAGTCTATGAAGTTTATCCTGAGACCTCTGGGGGCCGGTGGGGGCGGGGGTGGGGGTGGGGCGCGGAGGGGAAGGAGAGAGCTAAGACGTGACCCCCCAGAACAAACCCACAGCCCCCGCAGAAAGCCCAGACAGGGCTCCCCTGTGCACATGCGCCTGTAGGCAGCAGGAACTCTATTTCCATGGCTGCTTGGCCGCACGCTGAAGGTCAATACCGTGCACATTGGATAATAAAAGGATACTCTCCAAAAAAGCAAGCACGGGTGACAGTGATGTTTTCAAGCACAGAAGCACCCTCCTGAGCACTAGGGTGTCCCCGGCAGAGGCTGGCCGACTGCTTTTACCCGTGACACCGGTCATGGGCGAGCCTCCGCAAGCGCGTGCCGGGCAAGGACACTGAGTCAAGGGCGGCGGCTTGAAAACCTGTCTGACAGACGAGGAGTCAGGGTGGGGCCCGTCCATCCTCCGGGGGTGACACTTGCGATTCGAGGAGGCAGGCGTCTGAGGGCGCAGCAATGCCCCGTCGCCACCTTTCAGGACGTTTTCTGCAGGGACGGACCGCCTCGGGCATCCGGCACGGCGTTCCTGCCGCACGCCACCCTGCCTTTCTTTGGCTGCCTTTCAGAGGAGGAAAAGCTAGGCCCCTCGCGTACACGTCTCACACGAGCGTGACCGTCGTGCCTGAGACAGACACAGTGCTGCCGCCGCCGCCAGACAATGTCACTCATGGGAACAAACCAGCGTTTAGCTTTTCACAGCCCTGCGGGGCGGGGGGGGGGGGGCCTCCGGGGCTCTGCCACTCGGGCACGCACTTGTTCTCTCCGGTCTCCCTGCCCAGCCTCACTGGGAGCGGGTACCAGCACAGGCCTGGGGACACCCAGGTGTGCGGGGGACATCGTGCGAGAAGGGTGCACGTGAGCACTGCGGCCAGTGCAGGTGTCTCAGCGTCGACACCCAGGGACACGAGGGCCGGGCAGTGGTCTGTGATGGATGCTGTCCGGGGCACGGCAGGACGCAGGGCAGCGTGCTTGGGGTCTGCCTGCTTGAGGCCAGCACCGCCCTGCGCTCCAGGTTGGACAACCACAAGTGGCTGCAGATGTTGTCTGTCATAGGTCCCCCTTGGCCGGGGGTGGTACGGGGTGATGGCAGAATTAGTCCTAGTGAACAGTCCCCACCTTAGCTGATGGACAGGTGGAAGGAGAGAAGGGAGGGAGGGAGGGAGGGAGGGAAGGAAGGGAGGGAGGGAGGGAGGGAGGGAGGGAAGGAGGAAGGAAGGAAGGAAGGAGGCAGGGAGGGAGGGAAGGAGGGAGGGAGGGAAGGAAGGGAGGGAGGGAGGGAAGGAAGGGAGGGAGGGAGGAAGGAAGGAGGGAAGAAAGGAGGGAAGGACTTATGGATGGATGGATGGATGGATGGACAGATGGATAGATTGAAAGGATACATGATAGATGATAGATAGATAGATAGCCAGCCAGACAGACTTCCATGCTAGGTCAGCACCAAGGGAGCGCGGCCCTGGGACACCTGGCCCTCAGGCGCCTGGCCTCCAGCGCGGGGGACCGTGAACACCTGTGGTTTAAGTCCGCAGTTTGCGGCCGGGGGTTCCAGCAGCCCCGAGAAACCCACACACAAACAGACCTTGTTAAAGCCTGCCAGCAGACAGCGCCGTGACGCGAGGTCAGGACGCACCCCGCGCCCGAGCCCCCGGAAGGGAGGGCCGCCGGAGCCTGTGAGCCCCGCCGGGAAGACCCGTGTGAGCCGACGGCGTCGTTGATCAGACTCCCAGGTGGCTCTGTCCTGCTCCGCTGAGGGGAGGTGCTTTCTGCTCCCCGAGGGCCCGCCGAACACCTGGGCAGTGTGCACACGCATGCGAACCTGTGCGCACACGCAGTCGTGACTCTCTGGCGGTTCCCAGGTGTCCCCCCACCCACCCCCCGCCACAGGAGAAAACGCAAACCAGGCCTCTCCCCGCACGGCTCAGGCTGGCATCCCCAGCGCAGCCCGCGCAGGTGACACCGGGCAGGAGTCTACCTCGGGTGACGACGTCTCTCTCTGTCTGTCTCCTGAGGTCCCCGTGCAAGAGTCTCAGCCCCCGGGGGAACCTTTCCTGAGCGTGTTATGCTGGGAGACCAGCCCGGCCGTGAGCACCGGGGTGCGTTCATGCAAGTCAGCAGGACCTCAGGGTTTCGGGCGCAGGAGGCACAGCGGGGGGAGCTCAGAGCCGTGTTAACACCACCCCCCTCCGCGCCTGGCTCGTTAGCCTTCCTGCTCGAGAAGACGTTTCTAGGTTGAGCAGGTTTCCGCCCAGTGAGGCAGTGGGGCTCATTCTTGGTTTCCGGCTGGAACCCGCGGGGGAGATGAAACATTCCTCCCGTCTAGGTGTGTGTATTTCCCGGGACTGCCACGACAGGTGGCCACAGACGGAGCATTCTAGAACCATAGGAATCCATCCTCCCCGCCCCACCCCGCCGTCCTGGAGACTGGACACCTGAGGTCCAGGTGTCCCGGGGCTGCGCTCCCTCCAGGAAGGGTCCTTCCTGCCTCTTCCAGTCCCCAGGGGCTCCAGGTGTCCCTGGGCTGGTGGCCACATCCTTCCTCTTGGCCTCCGTCTCCACGTGGCTTCTCCTCTGCGTCTGCATCTCCTCTTCTAAGTACCCTATCACTGGCTGCAGGGCCGCCCTGACCCTGGACTACCTCCTCTCAGACCCTTCCCTCCCTCCCACCTGCAAAGACCCTCACAATGACCCTGCACTGTCCAGCTCGGTCTGTGAGTTCCTCGTTCCCAGCCACGGAGCAGAATGACCACCTGACGCAGAACCAGCCTCTGCCCCGGGGTGGTGGGGGTGCTGGGTTCCGCCCTCCCGCCAGGCTGGCGAGACCACGGCGGGGGATACGAGGTTTTGAATACGAGACCTGCGCTGGGAACTTGGGTCCTGGGCCTTAACCCTTGTGGGCACCTGCGCATCATCTACGTGAGCTTCCATTTGCGGAGGCGTCCAAGGGTGCCTGGTAGGGTTATTGGCAAGGCTCCTTAGATAACATACGAACGGTGGAACAGAGGCCAAAACTCCTATATTTTCTTTAACATGCTGCCATTTTGCCCCACCCTTAGTGAGGTCACACACATCGTCCGAGAGAGAAGCAATTATTCCGTTTTAGGAAACTCTCCACGACCCTCCTTTATTATGTGAAGGGGACATCCTGACGTACAGGTGTGGGGTGGGGGACCCAGTGCCTGCAGAAACAGGGTGTCCAGTTCTCAGACGCCCGGCGGGAAGCCGAGGTGGGGTGGTGGAGATGAGGAAAGACGAGGAGAAGGAGGTCAACAGCTCCCCTGGCTGAGGTGCCCCCCCCACCGTCTCCAAGCCTCAGACACCCCTGCCATCCAGCAGTAGGCTGGTGGCACGGGGCTTCCCCAGCAGAAACGACATTTCCCAGGCTGCCTGGCTGTCAGGTGGGGCCCTGGGACTCATTCCCACCACTGACGCGTGTCCTTTCCAGACTGAGGTTATGAGGGAGGAGGAGTACCTTGTGTGGCTCTCGCCCCCCCCCCCGCTGAGTGAAGCATTGACAAAAACACCTGTTGTGAGCTGCCACCCATCACAGGGTCCCCATCTCCTATCATCTCTCATGCAATAGCCACCGTAGCTCCCCCAAACCACCTCTGCTCTTGAAAGCAACGCTGATTACTTAATGATGCTCGTTCCTGCAGTCCGAGATTTATTACACTCGCAGCACAATCCCACGTTTGCCACGAAGCCGTTTATTTAGTCCCCAGCAAAGTCCCACGTGAGACACTAATCCGTGCAAATATTGTGGCAGGTGAACGAGAGGTTACCTGTGGAGGGTTTCCCATGGCAACGTGAAGAAGCCTGTTTTGAGTAATCGTGTACTGGCATCAGCATCTCGATGGAAAGGTAGTGCCACTCCAGCGAGTAGAAGAGTCGTAACGTTTCACTGCCACGTGAAATGCACAACAGGACTGTACTCAAAGTACGACTTCTTTTTTAAAAAAAGATTTTATTTATTTATTTTTAGAGAGGGAAGGGAGGGAGAAAGAGAGAGGGAGAGAGAAACATCCATGTGCGGTTGCTGGGGGCCATGGCCTGCAACCCAGGCATGTGCCC